ATTCATTTGGATAATAACTTCATGAGGCCCCACAGATTTTTTGTTGATTGGATACGATCTTGGCAGGAAGAAAAGAATGGAGAGGTTCCGAGGGTTCTGCAGCACTATACAGCTGATAAACTGTCATCCTTTGGAGAACTAGCGCTAATGTGAGTTAACCATTTCTACCTTTTTTTATCTGTTGGTTCAGAAAATGGTTGTGCTATCATAGAGTTTCTGTGAGCTGACTATATGATTTACTCTTGGAAATTTGATGCACAAATTGAACATAAGGTTTTCTTACATCTGTACATCTATGCATTAGAAAATATTAATGATTTACCATTGCGGAGCCAGGGGAAATGGGAAGCATATTCCTGGGACATGTTAGATCCAATTTGTTTCGGCTTTCCTTGATCTGTTTGTTTCCTTTTGTAATAGTGCATCATGTGTTTTCTAATTCCTGTTTACTTGATCCTGCAATATGTGATACTACAGGCATAACAAACCACTCCAGGCCTCTGTTCGTGCTGTTACCAGTGGAACTCTTTGGGCTTTGAAAAGAGAAGACTTCCGTGGAATTTTAACGTCAGAGTTTTCTAATTTGTCATATTTGAAGTTGCTTCGATCAGTGGATCTTCTATCAAGGCTGACAATCTTACAGCTGAGCCATATTGCCGATTCTCTGTCTGAAGTTTCCTTCTCACAAGGGCAGACGATAGTCAGCGAGGTACTTTACTTTCCTTAAGGGTATCATTTACTCTTTGCCTATAACTAATGTGTATTTCACATGTATCTGCAGAGTGAACGCCTAGTTGGATTATACATTATCCAGAAGGGAAAAGTGAGGATTACTTTTGATGCAAATTCAGTTAGTAGTCCAGTTGTCCGGAGTCTGAAGTCTGACTATCAAAAAGAAGATGATCATCCTCAGAGCAGTAAAGAGCTCTCGGTGGAGAAGACGGAGGGAAGCTGCTTTGGTGAATGGGCACTTCTTGGAGAACATATTGATTTGTTTACTGCAGTTGCTGTGGGAGATGTCACCTGTGCTGTTTTAACAAAGGAAAATTTTGATTCAGTCGTTGGCCCTTTGACAAAGCTTTCTCAGGATGATCGGAAGTATGTGGTATTCTCTTGAAGTCTCAATTCTTAAATTTTAATCAATCTACCAATTGGAAATCCATGTTTAACTTTGGATCTCTCTAATGACATATGACAACTTCGTAGAACTCTTTTTTATATTATACAGGATATCTCATGACTGTTTCATATTACGGATGCTGTTTGTTGATGTCACTATGTAGGTCAAGGGATTATTCTTCTGATGTTGCAAAGGGATCTGCCAAGAACGTTGATATTTCTGCTCTTTCTAAAGTCCAGTTTTCTGATCTGGTATGGAATTCAGTGCCCTGCTTGTTTGTAGGTTTCTAAGTTTCTAAGTATAAATGCTTAATTGAGTTATCGTATAATTTATTGATGCTACATATGTTTCCATTTTAGGATTGGAGAACAATTTTATATAGCACTGACTGCAGTGAGATTGGACTTGCATGTTTAAGAGATTCAGGTTGGTTGGTTGTCATTTAGGGTTTTTCTTTTCAGCTGTGGTTTTATTTGGTTAGATTGGGCTTCTGCACGATGCTGGATTCATGTTGAAGTAATATATGATATATCATTTGTTAGACAAAGAAAGAAGTCGATAATATATACTGCATTGAATGGGGCAGATCTAATAGTAGATTCAATATTTTGAGAAGAATTTATTTTTGTTTAAAACAGTACATAAGCTGACGGGAATTATTCTTGTTAAATCTTATTGCCTATCAGAAAAATTGCTTAGTTTGAAAAGGTTTTCAAAGCAAAAGGTCAGAAGGATGGGAAAGGAAGCACAAGTGTTGAGAGAGAAGGATCTAATCAAGAGTATGAGTTCTTCAGCGTGTGTGCCACAGTTTCTGTGTACATGTGTTGATCAGACACATGCTGGCATACTGTATAATACTTGCCTTGCTTGTCCGTTGGCTTCGATACTTCGCACTCCCCTTGATGAACCATCTGCCAAATTTTGTGCAGCCTCTCTAGTTGCTGGTTTGGCAGATCTCCATAAGGTCCATTGTCTGGAATTAGCTTATTAGCTCCTGCCGTGACTGTTTAAGTAACATCTTTCTTTTTCAACATCTCTCATTTTCTTTTCTTTGTAATTTGACTTTCAGAATGACGTTCTCTACAGAGGCTTGTCTCCTGATGTTTTAATGTTGGACCAAACAGGATATTTGCAGGTTGGTAATGTTTTGTTTTTCCGTAATGAATCATGTTTATCCATAGTATCTGGATTGACGCGGAATAATCGAAGAGGGAGAAGTTGATGAAATTATGCTTATTTACTAATTTTATTTATTTATTTATTTATTTTTGTATTGTAGCTAGTAGACTTCAGGTTTGGCAAGAAGTTATCCGGTGAAAGGACATATACAATTTGTGGAATGGTGGACTTTTTAGCTCCAGAGGTAGTCCAGGGAAAAGGCCATGGTTTCCCAGCTGACTGGTAATATGGTGATTTATGCCTCGTTCATCCTAAACTAAGTAATTGCTTCCACTAGGACACCCCGGTGAGATTTGTAAGCATCTAGATTTGTTTAAGATCTCTGGGAAAAGTTTTAAGATGGAAACAGGTCCCTTCCTGTGTTGGAAACAGTGGAATTATTGAAGTTTTAGGCATTGAGATCTGAGTTGTATATATAATTACATTTCATATTATTTTATTATTTTGTTGTCTTGACAGTATCCTTCTGAGACCTCCTGCAGTTCTGAATTTGTTTAAAAATTTGCAGGTGGGCATTAGGAGTGTTGATATACTTCATGCTACAGGGTGAAATGCCATTCGGCTCATGGAGACAAAGCGAGCTTGATACATTTGCAAAGATCGCAAAGGGACAGCTAACTCTACCGCAAACTTTTAGTCCTGAAGTTGTTGATCTCATAACTAAGGTATTGTAGGAATCTTTTTAGTCATCTCTCTCTCTCTCTCACACACACACACAAAAGGAATTTTCACATGCTTCTGTTTATAATAATATGTTCAGTTACTCGAGGTTGATGAAAACACCAGACTAGGAAGCCAAGGTTATGAATCTGTCAAAAGGCATCCCTGGTTTGATGGCATGGATTGGGAAGGGATCAAAGACAGTAGTTTGCCTGTTCCTCATGAGATCACATCTCGTATAACTCAACATTTGGGAAGTCACTCCGAGGACTGTTCTGTTCCTCTAGGTTCTCCATCTCGAAATGGAGAAGAACTCGATACTCCTGAATGGTTTGACGACTGGTAGAAGGATAAAAAATTACAGGACTTTCCACATTTGTAAAAAATTCCAGGTGGGGTTCTTCTGAATCTTCTCTGCTGTGAGATTTGACTCACAGCTTGGCTGAACAATGAGAAACCACCGAGACATACAAAACCAACGGAGGAAATGCCGAAATTACATGGTAGCATTAGAAGAGCATATATCTTCTGGGATCATAGGCCGCTGGTGATAGCCATTTGACTATTTCACGGAGAGGCCGGTTGATAGATTTTCTGTTCCCATCATTCTCTTTGTCTTTTCGGCGAATTTCTCCCCCTCTGTAAATGCATATATGTGTAGATGAATGAGGGGTCATTCCTTGATGAAATTATTCATTTCCGCTTGTACTACTGTAATAGCAGCTGATAAAAATTTGATCGACTTAGCCACGAAGCTCTCGAGTCTCCAACTATCCATTGTTCTTGATCATTTTCTTATGTGTTGTAAATACTTGGATCTCTGATTTATGGAAATCCTTACCGATTGGTCTCCAGCAAATTTTGTTAAATCTTGTTCTCATATTCTCTGATTGTTCAGCCATAGAGGATTTGTCTACATTCATAGGTCGGGAACCACCATCGCCGAGTTGAGATGGGGTGGGTACCCGTCGTCAAGTGTTTTAACCGTTAGACCTTGAATTTTGTATTTTTAAACAAATATTTAACTATTAAAACATCTGAAGTACTCGATACTCTGGAGCATCCGAGAAAGTCTTATGGAGCACCTAAGTTTCTTTATTTTATTTTTTATTTTGAAAAACCAATAAAATTATTTCTTGAAGAAGCACTTCTGCAACAAAGCATGGAAAACGGCTTTTAGAATCAAGTACCACTTTTAATTTTTTTTTTCTTCCAATATGATTAAAAACATTTTAGTTATCAGAAACCTCTTTGAGCCATTCTAAAAACACTTACAAAACCGAAAAAACGAGAGCACTTATTGGTCCTCTTCCGATTAGACAACAACACCACTAAATTAATCGAATAACAAATACGATATATGAACTGCAGAAAAACATATTAGAGGTATCAAGCCGACAAGGACAGAAACGTAAAATTAAGAATAACACTTAATTAAGATCAACATGCAAAGTCGATTCGTGGCTGCTTTCCTCGAGGACAAATGAAGCAGACTCAGCTCTGACACCAATACCACAACTGTGACAAAAAAAATACAATTTTATTGACTTATAAATAATAAACGACAGCATCTTCAGAGGATTCTAAATTTCATGGGAGGACAACAAGTGACTGATGAAAGTTGATTTTTCCCAACCAAAGAGATTATAAAATGATTTGGTCCGATGGTTTCAAGGAGCATCTTCTTCTTCTTCTTAAATCTTTTCATTAAGTCGTTTTCAGACGCGATCATCATTAGACACGATTACCGATGACAATTTAACGATTAAGGACTAATTAGATGAATGTATTGGCTTAAAAGTCTGGGAGCTCTAGTTTTATAAATTTTTTAAGTCAACTGCAAATATATTTATGTTGGTTTGGTGTAAATTTAGGTGGCTAACTTGGGAAAGAAGAGATTTCAACAGTTAATTGTTGAAAATGATGGAAACAGCATGATTCTCGTTCATGGAACGAGGGTGGTTTACTAGGGAAAGAAGGGATACCTTTTACTAAAGAAAAGCAACAAAAAATAAATATATCATTTGATGGATTCAAGAAGTTGCGGACGCAAGTTAGATCAGTTGCTTAAGACAGTGTGCATGTCCTTCCGAACCCAAGTTCGAATCCCCCCTCCATCTAGATTGAGTAGTTTGCAAAGAAAAAAAAAACGGATTCAAGAATTTGGTACTTCAAATTTGATAGGAATTAGTTTGCACTTATGAATAAAGTACCTAAAATCTATGGAAACTGAAAGCTTGAACTAATAACAAATCATACATCTAAATGCTGTGGAGACCTTTTCTCTCTATTGGCAAACGACTGGACTGTTCTTCTGGCAATCGGCATCCAAAGCCGCCTCATCCTATCCTCTTTCGGGTTGTTTTCGAGCAGAGAAGGCTCTCTAGTCCCGTTGGTGAAACCCAAGTTTCCGAATCTAGAAAGAGCAGTGATTTCGGACATTGATCTTTTCTCTCCTCGATTCGTAGAACTCGAGGCATGAGCTGAAGTTGCTATACTGTCTGATGTAGAGGGAACAATTGAGTTTGTAGCTGAACTGTTTTTGTTCATTGTACTAACTTTGTTCTCAAACAATCTTTTCATCTCCATCTCCCTGATGTTCATGATCTCCTCATTTCCAGTTGCTTTCGCGGTCAAAAACTGCTCATCGTTTAGTTTTATGGGAGAGAATCTATTGCTTGACACCGTGTTGAGCATTTCCGAATTCAAGAACATAAGATCAGACGAACTCAGATTGCTCCATCTGTTGTTGAACTCGAAAGCAGAAAAAAGAATTTTGTGCTTGTGCTTGTGCAGGATTTTGTCATCCTCTTTTGTCACATCACTACAAGCAGCTTCTGCTATTAGCAGTTCAGCTTCCTTCTCAACCACCTTTTTGCTTTTTCGAAAGCTGCTTCCGATGCTGAATCTCGAAGAACCGCAGCGATCTTCCTCTCTCTGAACAAAGAGATCTATGTTAGAGTCCTGTCGATGCTCTGCTTGGTTATTCGACAAGACCCTCATGCTATTCGAGAAGGTGACGAACGTAAGATCCTCAGAGCTAACCTTGTGCCGGCAGAGAGGACAGCTTGAGTGCTTTTCCAGCCAGTGATCAATGCAGTTGATGTGAAAAGCATGTTTGCATTTTGGAAGCAATCTGAGAATCTCAATATCTTCAAATTTCGATAGGCAGACTGCGCATTCGAGACCTTCCCTTGACCCTTTGAGAGAAGAGAATCTGAAAAACGGAAGTGCCTCAATCACCGTCTTGTCAATCCCCGAAAACCGGGAGCTTCTACTGATAAGTCCTGTTTCCAGGGGACTGTGTTCTTGAACAGGAACTCTTCTATGGCAGTATTTGGCATAAACTAGGAGTGTAAAAAGGAACGCAAACATGACAGATAGAACACCGATAACCGTACGAACACTTCGTTGATATTTAGTTTCTTCATCAGAATCCATATCTGAGCCTAAGGATTGTGATTCAACATGGAAGATTACACAGTTGAGAAGCAAAATAAACAGGCTTGAATGAAACATTGGAAGGTCGAGATTTTGAAACCCCGAAATTTTAATCATCTTTTCGAAGCATTCTGCAAAAGAAAAAAGGAATTATACACATATATGTTTGTGGAGAACTTGGAAGTTTAAGGGAAATACCAATCTGGTTTGTGATATTTCGGTTTCTTGGTTTCTTCTTTGGTTGTTCCTGTGTGTCCTAATTAGATTAACTATTTTTATATTGCTGTATACTTGGGTTTCTACAAATATGCCCTCCCATGGATTTTATTGTGTAATCATCCGACATTATAATATAAGCTCCAGCTGCCACATGACATCAGTCATGTTAAGATCTACCTATAAGCTAATGCAGTCATTAGCTCGAAGGCCCGACGAGTGAGAACCCGTTAAACTAATCGAACTTTTGGCGATGAGCTTTTCGCAAACAACTTGTCGCCTCTATTTTTCGGTTTCAGTTTGGTGTTTGAGTTATTTGTCTTGTAAGAACTTTGGTAATGTCTTGCTGTTATCCAAATTCCTTTCTTGGAAAAGAAGCAATATGTTTTCTAAGCAAAAAGCAAACAAAAATATATAATTTCATTGATTCAAGAAGTTGGTATTTGTATAAGAATTCAATTGGCATCTATATAGCTATATGTGCTAGTCCTTAAAAATTTAGAATGATGCATTGCTACAAAGGAATCCAAAAATAAAACAGCGTTCATAGTGCGTGTGTTCCTCTAGAACTTCGAAACAAAACTACCTAAATCCTATGAAACTTGAATCTTCCATTGATCCAAGTTATACATATAAAGGCTGTTGAGGCTGTGGAGGCCTATTCTCTCTATTGGCAAACCACTGGACTGTTCTACTGGCAATCGGCAACCAAAGCCGCCTCCTTCTTTCCTCCTCCTCATTGTTTTCGAGCAGAGAAGGCTCTCTAGTCCTGTTCTTAAAACCCAAATTCCCAAATCTCGAAAGACCAGTGATTTCGGACATGGATCTTTTCTCTCCTCGATTCACTGAACTCGAGGGGTGAGCTGAAGTTGCTATGCTATCTGAAGCAGAAGGAACCGAAGCTGAACTATTTTTCTTCATTGTACCAACCTTGTCCTCCCTAATCTTTACAATCTCCTCATTTCCTGTTGCTTTCACGGGCGAAAACCGCTCATAATTTAAATGTCTGAAAGAAAATCTATCGCTTGACATCGTGTTAAGCATCTCGGAATTCAAGAACATGAGGTCAGAGGAACTCAAATTGCTCCATCTGCTCTTAAACTCAAGATCCGAAACAACAATTGTGTGCTTGTGCTTGTGCAGGACTTTCTGATCTTCCTCTGTCACATCAGCAGCTTGTTGGATCAACAGTTCCTTATCAATCGCCCTGTCAACTTTCCGAAAGCTGCTTCCTACGCTGAATCTGGAAGAACTGCGGTGATCCTCCTCTCTCTGAACAAAGAGCTCTATGTTCGAGTCCTGGCGGCGCTCTGATTGATTAATCCACCTCATGCTGTTTGAGTAGGTAATGGAAGTCAAGTCCTCAGCACTAACCCTGTGCCTGCAGAGAGGACAGCTCGAGTGCTTTTCGAGCCAGTGATCAATGCAGCCGATATGAAAAGCATGCTTGCATTTGGGAAGCAGCCTGAGGATTTCAACACCTTCGAATTTCGACAGGCAGACTGAGCATTCGAGGCCTTCTTTCGACCCTTTCAGTGCATAGAATCTGAAAAAAGGAAGTGACTCAATCACTGTCTTGTCAATCCCCGAAAACCGAGAGCTTCTACTGATAAGTCCTGTTGGCTGGAGATTGTTGTTTCCAACCACACCTGCTCTTCTGTGGCAGAGTTTTGCATACACAAGGAGGACAAAAGTCAGTGCAAACATGATTGATAGAATTCCAATAACCACAGCAACACTTGGTTGAAAATTGCTTTGTTCATCGGAAGGATAATCTGGGCCACTGGATTGTGCTTCAACATGGAACACCACAAAATTCAGAAGCAAAAAAACAATCAAACTTGAATGGAACATTGGAAATTTGAAATTTTGAGACTGACCCAAAATTCTAATCATCTTTGGAAGCAAAAAGGAACTATATATACACATATATATATATATGTATATATATGTATGTATAGATACAGATATATGGTTGTGGAGGAGTTGAAGTTTAGGGGAAAAGGAACTATATATACATATATACATACAAATGTTTATATCATTCTGGTGAAATTTTATGTGTTGTTGGTTTTTTCATGTGTTTCGAATTTGATAAACCATTTTTATATTACTGGAATTTATTAATAGCAAAGATAATTGAACAGTTGAGAAGTGACGACGAAGTGGGAGAGAGAGGATTAATAGCATGTAGACAAATATTGCCTCTTATGGTACGCTGCATTATTATACAAGCACCACCTGCAGCATGACATCAATCATGTTAAGACAAACCATTAAACTAATTTCTTATACACAAGTGGTGAAACTCCGATTAAAGAAAGAAAAAATTGCTAGCTCCAATTGTTTACACATCAATGATCAAAGGCGACACTGGGGGAGAGCAAAAGTTGTAATCTTATGAGGTTTCAAATTTGAACCACCTCTAAAAAGTTTTGATATCTAATATTCACAATGAGATATTTGAAGTGCCAATAACAACACTCTAAAAACGACTTTTATTTTCAATTTTTTATATGATAATACTATATATTCAAGTGAAACTTTAACCCAATAATTTCTAAAGCTTTTTGCTTGTTTGATTGTTTAAGATTGAACCACTTTTGATTGCTTGCCAGAATTAATATATTGTTCTACTTTTTTTAGAAAACTTTCTTAAAAAATGGATCTTTTTATAAACTTTGCACAGAACTCTCGAAATCTTAAAAACGGTCATGAACTAATGACATATAACCACGTGCATGTGATCAACAACTGATACTAACATTACAGAAATTATGTTCCCTCTTATTGGCCTGGAAGGGATTGGCCTTTCTAACGCATATTCAGTCATACCGACATGGCCCTACTAATTTGTTTTCGATCCAATATGAGTTAGGGTGAAATTTCGTTATGAGATTTTTCATTTAATTTGCTCCCTCTGTTGGATTAGTTTGCCTTCGAAATTTGGTACTTTATTTGTGATTTGACTAAATTAATGGGAAAGTCAAAGTTGTTAGTTGCGTATGGTGCTTGCAAATTAGCTGCTTTGCATGGCTCAGAAAGTCAAAGGGCAGAGTCGTGGGATCTTAGCTTAGGTGACATCATTGCATAGAACATCATTAGGCATGAATTAACTCAGCTAATGCCTTTTGTGTTTTCTAATTACAATCTTGAACTGTCTGAATCTGATCTTTTTATTAAGTTGAAATTTCGGGATAAACAAACACATCATGCAGACAGAAAAAATGAAATGTGACATCATTTAGTATCTTAATTCTCTTTCGAATAACATAATTTAAATGCGAAAAAAACATAGAAGTGCGAAAAGACAAAATGAAGGGCGGAAATCATTTTTCTTAACCAATAAACAAGGGAAATGCTTTGCCGGTCCTAGTAATTAAGCAATTCTTAATTTATATTTTATTTCCTGTAAAAGTATTCAGATACTCATTTTCCAGAACAGAGAAGCAACAAATCCGCCAGTGTTTCAATAATTGCACGTGGAGGATGACGAGTGAACAGAAAAAACCAAAAGTTAAAAGACACAGAGCAGCTCAATCGTTACCTAAATATTTGACTCTTGATCCATGAATTTTCCATTTGTAAAGTGTTTGTAGATTGCTAATCTGAAACTAATAAGAATCATTAATCGACTAATCACCTTTGCAGGTTTGCGTATACGAGTATTCGGTTTTTTGTATATTCCGGGTTCTGTATTTTCCGGTATTATACTGAGGCATCGGTATGCATTTCTTAGAAGTAGGGCGAGTGTCTAAAGACCGAGTTATCTCTCTGAATCAGGTTATTCGCTGGGCTGTTAAGCCGTCGAGTCTTGTAGGGTTGATCGACCCGTTTCATACTAGCATCACAAAAAACAGTAGAACCGAAATACTTGGCCTTCATATCACAAACAGAATAATGACAGAATATTATTACATACACCTGCAATACTTGATTGTAGCAGATGAGGGAACTGAGAAGAACCGAAGAAGGTTATTACTACACAAGCACAATGACGAGTTACGCGTACAAAAACATCCCCAGGATTTCCAGACCGCGTATAAAGTTGTTAAACGTACTTCAGACATGGTAATGAATTAGGTATGAGCCGAGGCAGAAGGATTGCCATTAGGAAATGCTGCCAAACCAGTGCCACTTTCGGGATTAGATGGCTCGTCGCTTGCATGACGAACAAACTCTTCAGGGGACATGTGCAAGCCGTGGCAAGCACAAACTATCTTGATTTGGTTTGTGCTGTATCGGTAAGTTACACCAGAAATTGTCTTACCATTTGGGCCTTGGCCCTTGGTAGAAACCCATGGTAGGTTCGGGCATGAACCAGATCCCCCAAATTTTATGTCAGCAGCAATACCTGGCTTTATAGCTGAAAAATCAAGAGATAAGTCCTCTGCCGTTGGGCGGCCAGGTGCATCTTTCATCCCGAGGTTTGCGCTACTTACTTTTGTGTCTTCTTCTACCTGAGAAGATGCGCCCTCTTCAGTGACATTCTGTTTGCCATCACCTCTCGCCCGTTCTAACATCCTCCCATCATATTGTGCAACATCAGGTGAATTATGTGAAACGACTTGCATCATAGCTGCATCAACACAAGAAGGATAAGAATCTGTTCTTTTGGTCAAAGCATCACTAATAATATCATTATTAATTTTTTGACAAAAGAACGCCCTGGAGTTGTTATTTATGGATGGAAATGGAAAATATTTATCAATAAGATATAACATATCCAACATAAAGAGTTGCGCTCAATAAGTGCCATCACCACAAAAGTAAGGTGTTTCCATGCTCTCTAGTCCAACGTGCACAAATAAGTTCCAATCCATATTATAGTTACCTGAGTTTGGTGGATTTCTGCCAGCATAGGCAGGATGGAATTGTTGAGCATGAGGAATCGCACCCCAGGAATTATCTTTATCCAACATTGGGAGCTGGACAGGTGAATAGCCAAACATAACTGGCAAGTTTCCAGGATTCACAGGTTGAGTCCCTGTTCGCTCACCAGTAACAGTAGGCATCGCCTGCATCATCCCATGCATTGGATGTCCTGAT